TGAATGACAGGAAGCGGCTTCTTGAGGCGGAATCCATTCCTGGTGAAGATGACAGACAGCAAGGGACTTAGAGTCGCATAAACTTAGTGGATAAAGCACTCATTTGGTCTGAGAAGCCTGGCTCTGGATTTGAAGCACTTCTACTTGAGGAAAATACTATCAAACAGCACTGAATGCTACAAAGAAGTCTTTTGGGAAAAGGTCAATTGAAGCAGCGGACTGCATTGCCTTATTCTGAGAACTTGGCAGGGGCTGGCAGGATGCTTAAGCAAATCAAGGGACTTGTGAGTCAACCTAACAGCCTGAGATAATCCCAGAACATATAAAAGTGGAAACAGAGAACCAACCCCACTGAGTTGTCCTCGGACCACATCAGGTGCCTTCACACACATTCAATAATAATAACAGAAAGCATTTTCAAGTCATCCCAGCCTCCAGCATTCAGCGTTAATCACTCCACAGTCATCAGTTTCAGGGACGGCAAAGCCATCTGCCACCAAGACTGCAACCAATAAAGGCTCAGATGGTCATTAGCATTTTAAGCAATGGAGTGTTTTTTAAAATTAAGGTATTTTGTATACATAATGCTACACACGGTCAACAGAGTGTAGAGTGTTGTAAACATAGCATTTATATGTCCTAGAAAACCAAAAAGTTTAAGGGGAGGTCTGGTGTACTCGGTGAGGCAGGAACAAGGCAGAGAGGGAAGGGAGGGCTGGGCAGGGCAGCAGCAGGCTACAGATCTGAGAGGATTCAGGTTGTCGGTGGACAGTGCAGAAAAGGGTGTTACCATCGATTAAGATGGTCTGACAGAAGACGAGTGTGCAGCATGGGCAGGGGCGGAGCAGCCTGGCCAAGTTAGGGTGGGGAAGGCCTGCTAACAAGGCTCAGGCGGATGGATGCTGAAGGAGGCATCGTAAATTATGGGAAGACCTTGCTCCAAACGAGGTGGAAACACTGAAGGTTGTCCTCTGACCTCTGTGTGGGTGCTCACTCTCTCACACACACACACAGTCACACAAAGAATCTGCCTTGTTTTGACACTTGGTGCAACATGAACGGACTTTGAAAACATGATACTAAATGAATGAAGTAAGCCAGACATTTAAAAAGATGTGTGATATGACTTCATTTATTAACCAACTGGAACAGGAATGGGGGTGAAAGGAGGCGGCGTAGAGATTTCCAGATGTGAGGTCAGGGATGGAGGGTTATTGTTTCATGGGTACAGCACTTGTGTTTGACAAGAAAAGTCCTAGATACAGAGGTTTATAGTTGTACAGCATTGTCAAAGGACCCTACCCACTGAAATACTGCCATGCCTTTATTAGCATCTTACCACAACTTGTTAAAAGTGAGAGCTCTAACTCGTGCCTGTAACACCAGCGTGTGGGAGCCTCTGTCTCTGTCTGTCTGTCAATCTCTCTCTCCAAAAGGTCGTTACTTTGAAATGCTAAAAGACAGCAGCAACTGACAATGAATCAGAGAATGCAATTCTAGAAAAAAGATGCTGTTCCCCTTATGGAGAGTTTTTGCATGTTAATTTTTATGATGTACGAAGGACAAAAAGGCACAGAGAAAATCAGGCCAAAAGTAGCATATTAGCCAAAGGTCAGCCTTGTGACCAAACACTTCACTGGTGAGTTATGGTCCACATTTCAGAGCCAGGAATTGCTTATATGCTTGTGTTCCTTAGGATGCCATCCAACCTTAGCAACCTCGTGTGCAGCTTTCCGCTCCTCCCTAGGATTCTAGAAACCCACTTTAAGGGGCAAACGGGAAATGCAGGTGGCTGCCCGGCAATAGGAGTGAGCTGTAGTCGGCACACCTGTGCCGAGCTCCATTCATTCTCAATGCTTGTCTGCCGTTTTAGTGCCACAGCGGCTTTACGAGTTGTGTTTATTACTCAGGTTTTTGTTTTTGCTGTGAACCGTGTTTGCCCAGCAAAAGGGCAAGAGGCAGCCTGACTGTCCTGATGACTACCTCCAGCCTCACCTTTCAGTGAGCAGAAACTGGGGTACAGCCTCCCTTTCCCTTTCCTCATTTGATGGGTGCCTCGGTCGGTGGGAGTGGCTTGACATGGAAATGGGGCTGCAGTGTTCTTTCGTTTTGCAGGATGAGACCCCTCACACCAAGCTAGCTATTTTATCCGGTATCCGAGCTACACAGTATCTGCCCCGACACTCATGGGACCCTTGGCTCTCTGGGACTTTGTCAGAGTTGTAGACAGAATTCGGATGTAATTCAAAGCTTGTGACAAGGCAGTGAGAAGCAGAAGAAAACAGTAAGCTATGAGCGGCTGCCATCAAGCACATGCCTGCAATTCCAACTCAAGAGGCTGAGGCGTGAATGCCATAGTTTGAGGCTAGCCTGGGTTACACATCCAGAGCCATATAGCAAGACCCCACCTCAAAAATAACGAAGCATTAAGTTATCTATAAATGGCAGGGTTGTAGGTTTTTTACCTGCGTCTGTTCCTCACAATTCAGCAGCTCTGCAGAGGGTGTATTAGTTTTATGGAGTTATTTTGGAAAGCTGACATACTTAAACATTTCATTTACCCTTTGTAAACTGATTTTCTGTCTTAAACTTGGGATTGGGGTTTGTTTAGCAGAAGAAAGTATTTTGCTTTAATGCATGTGGGCTCTTACAGGAGAGCAGCTTAGACGGGCCACTCATGAGAGCGGCTTATTATTCCTCAGTTCTGGAGGCTGGAGGGGCTGAAACCAAAGTGCCTGCAGGCTCTGTCCGAGAAGAGCCTGCTCCTCACAGATGCCATATGTTATGTGTCTCACAATGAGAAGACAAGCAATCTTTCAAAGCTTTTTTATAGTTTTATTCTTTGAGAATTTTATACAGGCATACAGTGTATTTTGGTCATATTCACCCGACTCCTTACCCTAATTCATGTTCCAGACCCACCCCCTCCCAAATTCACCTCGAAATTCAGTTTAAAGTTGTATCACTACAAGACTTTGGCTTCCCGTAGTTCCCAGTGATAACTACCACTTATTAGATACTTACTCAGAGGACTTGAAACGTGTTTCACTCCGACAGTGCCCTGTAAGGTGTGGGTGGCTGTCCTGTTTCTAATGCTCACCAGCACGTTTCCCATGAGGTATTTTTTGAATTACTGTTTAGTCTGAAGCTAACAAACTTCATGATCACTCCGTAAGTTCAATCCAGGGCTGGCACAGGCAGTTCAGCCACAGAGCCTTGGTCCCAGCCCAGCATGAGGTCCGGACAAGAGGCCAGAACCTGCAGAGTAGCAATGGTGAGAACCCACATCCGCCTGGGCTCCATCTGCCTGGGCTCCAGCATACTCACCAGCTCTTTCCCGCTAAAACTGACAGCTCTCACAGAAACTATCTTAAAGATAATAATTTTATCTTGCCTTGTGGCATTGGGAACAATGTGAAGCAAGCTAAACTGTGAGTAAAACAAGCCATCTACGTGTGAGCCCCCACTACAAACCAACATTCCGCAGAGTAAGCATTTGGCTAGGACAGGTCTGCAGTCCGCAGCCTGCGTGGCAGGAACACTGGTGGTAGCGAGGACTGGAAATGGCCTTCTTTGGACTTACCCTTCCAAGTCTGTAAACACAAGGCCTCTGTGGCGGGGCTGACTCCCCAAGAGCCTGCTGTACTGAGGAGTAACCCTTCTTAGACCAAGTCTTACAGAATACCTCAGCTCTGAAGCTCCTCACGTCTCGCTGTGTCCTTCCCCTTCCATGTAGCCTGTCCTGCTCTGGGTCCTGTCTTTATATGGGCGTCCAAGACATGTCCAACTCGTAGGAAATAAACTGACATGCTCTCCTGTTGACCTTTTATGTCCCTTTATCACAAGGGCCCAGCTAGGACTCCAGGATGGAAGTGGGCAGGGGCAGCAGTGCTTCAGACGGTGTAGCATCTTCTAATAGGTGAAGAAGGCAAGGGCTACTTGGGTAGATGTGAGGTCCTGCTCAGATCACCACTGTGTTCAGCTGGATTCAGCTAACTCATCCAGCCTTACTCAGTCAGTTAGAGCCAAGTTCAGCATGGCTGGTGTAGCACAAGGTGAAAGGGTCACCGTCACACTCTGACCTGATTTCCAGGGGTCTCTCTAAGGCTGTCACAGAGCACATCTCGCTTAGCTTGGCTAAGATCGACTTTAATCCTGAATTTATTTTTTTAAAAAAGTTGCATTTACATAGTTCTAATAAAAACAAATATGCATTTATGAACTCATTTCAAATAAAACAAGGTCAGCTCATCAGCAAAAAATACTTTAAAATACAATAAAAGATGACATCTTCCCTTCCTAAGTGTCTACCCGAGCTAAACATCAACATGAAAAGACAATTACCTGTGTAATATGATGCACAATTAATAAAAACTCAAAGAGAGAAATTGGGGTTCAACCTGAAGATCCGCAAAGCAAAACGTCAGCCACTGGCTCTTACCACGACCTCAGTCTGAAATGGCGATCCTGCCTCCAGGAATCTCAGCAGGAGACTGTATCTGAGAACTGTGTCCTCCTGTTTTGTAATCCTCTCTAGGCCTGGGGTTAAAGGCATGCGCTGCCCGGTTTCCATGGCAACTAGTGTGTCACCACTGCCTGGTCTGCAAGGCTGACCAGGGGCTGTTTTACTTTCCCAATCCCCAGGTGAGCTTTATTAAAATACAATGGAAATGCCACTACAGTAATCTGCCACCTAAAAAGAAATATAACTGTAGTAGGAAGGGGATTTGTGTCTGATCAGTTGAGGCCCTTGAACCCCATGCCTTCCGACCTGTAAATGGATGGATGCAGGGCTCAGGCAGACGATGTTTATTCATAGAGGGCAGGATGCCTTCAATTAGGAGATGGCTTGGAATGGGGTGGTTTCCCCTGCTATCTTAAATCTTTCATTTCCAGTTACTGCTCGGAACGCAGGTTTCTGAGTATCTGTCCCAAAAGTCAGTGCTCCTTTAAAGCCTTCATCTTCCTTGCAGGCTCAATGTGGACATTCTCAGTTTAGGATGCGGGAACGAGCCAGGGCTTACAGCATGTTGTGGAGGATGTCGTGGAAGGTGCTGACGGGACCCCAGCTCTGCAGGCTGCGTCTTTACAGAACACCGCCACCAGCTCTCAAAATCAGACCTTTGGCGTGTGTCACCTATGAAACGGACAGCCGGTCAAACCAAGAGAACACGAGAACAGTGGCTGGGCTCCACGCGTTCTCCATGGACATCAGGAAGATCCGCAGACTGAAACCATGGGTGCTTCTAGAGGATGACACCCACGTTGAAGAGATTGCAGACATTCTGAAAGAACTAGGTGCCAGCAAGACTGTGGTAGCCAGTATCTTGGAACGCTGTCCAGAAGCGATCGTCTGCAGCCCTGCTGCGGTTAAGGCCAAAAGGGAACTCTGGCAGATGGTCTGCAAAAGCGAAGCAGAGCTAATCCGGTTAATAGAGCAGTTCCCAGAGCCTTTCTTTACTGTTAAGGACCAGGAGAACCAGAAGCTCAATGTTCAGTTCTTTCAAGAGCTGGGGCTCAAGAATGTGGTGATTAGCAGGTTTCTGACGACTGCCTCTAGCATCTTCCATAATCCTGTAGTGAACAACAGGCGGATGATAGGGGCTCTCCAGGAGAGCTACCTAAACTTGGGCGGCTCTCTGGCCAACGCCAAAGTGTGGCTGCTGAAGTTACTAAGCCAAAATCCATTCATTGTGTTGAGTTCTCCCATGGCTGTAGACCAAATACTAAAATTTCTTCAAGGGCAAGGTTTCACAGACTCTCAAGTTCTTCAGCTGCTGTCCAGACTGAAAGGGTTTCTTTTTCAACTGCAGCCAGGAAGCATCCACAACAGTATTTCCTTCGCTAAGACGACTTTTGAATGCACAGACCGTGAGCTGCGGCAGTTAGTTGTGGACTGTCCTGTGCTGCTGTGTTACCCTGCCCCAGTTCTAGAAGAGAGGATCCAGGCCCTTCTGAAGGAAGGCATCTCCATGGCTCAGATAAGAGAGTCCCCAATGGTCCTTGAGTTAACGCCACAGATAGTCCAATACAGGATAAGAAAGCTGAACTCCTTGGGCTACAGAATAAAGGATGGCCATCTAGCAAGTCTAAACGGAACAAAAAAGGAGTTTGAGGCTAACTTTAGCAAAATGCAAGCCAAGCAAGGAAGGCCGCTATTTAACCCTGTGGCACCATTAGATGTGGACCAGTGACCGATTCACAAACAAGCGATTCAGCTTGTGAGTACTAGGGAGTCTCAGGACCTACTGAGATTTGAGTTGTGTTCGAATTACCTCACAACTGATGGCCTCTGACTCAATTGCTGCGCTTTAAAATATAAAATAAATATAAATTGTGTTTGAATAAAATCATTGACTTGACCTATTTCTCCAAAGCATCACATAGCTTGATAGTTCATATGGACTGTTTGGAAGGAACTGACGAGGACACACTCTTGTTGGGAGTCCATGCACACTGTTGGTCCCAGAGCTGCTGGCAAAGTGGAATTCCTCACTGCCAGCCCTGAGGCACCAGCAGGCCAACGTCACAGGCCTTCAGAGAGAACCAGCCTCACCTGTGTGTGAAGGAGTGTCTCTACAAGTGTTGCTCATCCAAAGGGATGTAGTCAAGCACCTACTTCTACGAACACACACATCCGTTAGGAACCTAACAAAGAGTCCAGATGTATTAAGATCTGAATTCTGTCCAGCCTCAGGAATAGGGAAGATGGCCACCTTTCCCTGCACAGTAATGCAATCAGGAAGGAATGCAATCAGACTGTGGGGAGGGGTGTGGAAACGGTCATTTCAAACTTCATTCGCATCTGAAATGAATGCAGCTTCCTAGAAAGCATGAAAATCTACCTCATGTGGTACCACTTCCAGCTGTAGTGTTCCACTTCGTTTCTAAATCCTGTCCCAAGATAAACATGACCCAGATAAAGACTGGCTCGCTTTCAGCTGTACCACTCGTAACAACTGTAATACTCACTGGCGATAACACATGGCCAGCTGACTATGGAGTGTGCACAGCTTCTGAAACATACTAAGAATGCAGCCAGTACCCTTTTTTATTCTCTTAGCAAATGCAAGTATCTCACACTATCCAAATCTGCTCAGCTTCTTAGCTGGGATACTGAGTAGCCACAAGTGCTCAGGAAGTTAAGAATACTCACTGTTTACAGTGGGCTTAGTGTAAGGCATTACCCAAAGCGCTCAGGACTGTCAAGAAAAATGTTAACGCCAGAGGCAGCTTAGTGGCAGAGTGCACACTTCACCTCAGATTCAATCACAAGTGTGGTGGGGACCTCCAGAGCTCCATCCTGGCCGTGAGCAGTAACGCATGCACTCATCGCTCTTTCAGAGCAGGTCTGGAATACATTACAGGCTCTGTGGCCTTCTACAGTTACCTGTCAACCGTGAGGTGGTTGGTAACAGGCAAATGACCAAGTGTGGAGCAGCGAGGAGCCAGCAGAGGAGATAAACAGTAGCACCGTCTGCATTACTGTAGCATCTGAAGCTACACTGTAGATGAGATCCCCACAATAGCAGAGCAGTGAGTAATCAATCCGGAGGGGGGCAGTCACTGGGTGACTGGAGGAGTAGGTAAGTGAGGCAGCTGCGTGGGGTGGGCTGTGTGGAGTAGAGTGGGCTGTGTGGGGTGGGCTGCGTGGAGTGGGCTGCGTGGAATGGAGTGGGCTATGTGGGGTGGGATGGTGGGGTGGGCTGTGTGGGGTAGAGTGGGCTGCGTGGGGTGGGCTATGTGGTGTGGGATGGTGGGGTGGGCTGTGTGGGGTAGAGTGGGCTGCGTGGGGTGGGCTGTGTGGAGTGGGATGGTGGGGTGGGCTGCGTGGGGTGGGCTGTGTGGAGTAGAGTGGGCTGTGTGGGGTGGACTGTGTGGGGTGGGCTGTGTGGAATGGAGTGGGCTATGTGGGGTGGGCTGTGTGGGGTGGGCTGTGTGGAGTGGGCTGTGTGGAGTGGGATGGTGGGGTGGACTGGTGTGAGGGAGAGGAGGGTTCAGGACACACGTCAGTTAGCAGAGCGTTTGGGACATGAGAATCTAAGTTAGGTTTGATTCCTAGAACTCACATGAAAAATGCCAATTATGGTAACACTTATAACGCCAGCCCTGGAGAAGTGGGCATGGGACCCCTACAATATACACTAGACGTGCTCCCCAGGTGTAACTCAGCGTTCACACTTGGCCCACCCTGGAGACTGACAAAACCTGGACATCTCTCAGTCTTAGTTCTACAATTGTGTTTGTATTTACTGTTCTGTCTATTTCCAGATTATCACGTCTGTCAGCTACCACCAAAAACCTGACTACAGCACTTCCTGAACTGCTATGTAACCGAAAGTTTTAAGATCCTGTTTAAGAATTGCCTTTATTCCTGTAGATCTTTATGAAACATTCCATCTTTGCAGATCATAGTCCTTTATTATCAGATTCATGTGTCCTTCCCCATCCCTTTAATACAAAAAGGAACAACCCGCATTATTCAGTCAGCTACTTTCATGTGACATGTCACTAAATACAGTATTCATATGTCAACATTAGGTCATTTATTCAAGTGGATCACACAAATTTATCTCCACTGTGCCAAAACCCACTAAAAAAAAAAAAGGAGCTAAATACCAGATGCTTCCAGATGCATACAACAACCATAGTTTCGGAAGTGAGCTAGTCCTGTTTAACAGATCACACTGCTCGTCTATGTAAATAAACCGGGAGAGACATGTACAGCTGTACACACCATCAAATGTAAGCTCATCTCAACGGAACGATATAACTGCACATCTGCGCAGTTCTGCTACTGCTGTAAAAGCCCCTCTGAGCAACATTGCACTTTAGCATTTAGGAGAATGGGGAAAATTTACCGGGTGGCTTTTCTGTAGCAGAGATTAATCACAGCCATCTTCCTTAAGTGATTTTAAAGACAAGCAAAGTTGAAAATAAATATGCAAGCTCACATAAACCAGTCTTGAAGTTAGAAACACAAACCAGCAGTAATTCCTAAATGGCAGGAATCGAGTTCTCCAACACCAGTATTTACATCACTGAGAATGGGTCTATTAATTTTGGAATTAAAAAAATATCATTTGTTAAGACATTTCACCAGATGTACCAACAAATGCCTCCTCCATTATATTGCATGAGATAAATGGCCATTTAATCCTTCTGAATTTAATTCCTTAGTGATTTTCAGTTCTGTGTAAGCATAAAGGTCCAAGAACATTTATAGATTTGCTTGAAATTCCTGCTGTTATTTATGAATGCTTTTAAATTTTCTACTTTTATCCAGTTGTCGACGCACAAGTTACAAACACTGAAGCCTGCGTGTGAGGGTGGTCTTCTCACGTTCTCAGACACTACACTTTGACTTATTTATGCCAAGGCACCACTCTCCTCTCCAGGGAATTAGAAAGGACAAAATGGAGACAGATTTCTAGTTTTAGGTATAAAGAAAATTAAGGGTTTTCCCCAGGCTTAGCTTATAAGATAAATCCCAAATACATATTTCACTTACTAAAGTTTTCATGAAACTGAACACTAAAACAAAACAAATGGACTTTTGAGTTCGGTTCTGTGAGAGTAAATGAGCTATGATGAACATTCAGACACAACACACTCACCACCATGCCAAAGAAAGTCAACTCCCTACCTGACACTGGCTTGAAAACTGTCTACATCCGCTTTAAAGGGCTGCAGAAGAACATGCGTTAAAGCACGAGTGAATTCTGCTGCAAGTGCTGCTCAGCTGGTGCAGTCCTGGCCTACCACGCATGCAGCCCTGGGCTCCATCCCCAGCATCACATAGACCCAGCACTTGGGAAGTGAAGGCAAGAGGATGGAGGAGCTCCAGGTTTCCCTCCGCTGTGTATCCAGTTCCTGACCAGCCTAGGCTGCAGGAGCTACTATCTCAGAAGACAGATGAACAAACAACCTATAGAAGTCACTGAGAGCACTGTGTGCAGCCCATCTCACTCATTTGAAGAGTCAATCCTCATATATGTGTGGTTGCTTCTATTGTATTTTTAAAGGAGTTGCTACTGATAATTTAAGACATCCTGAAGACAGAGATGCATGGAGGATTATCGTAGATGCTTCAGATAATTAAGAACTTAAAAACTAATACTTGTTCCTACTTAATATAAAACTCTTCCCACACAGCTTCTGATCAGCTAAGAAATATTCCCTAGGCACTGTGGGGCGTATTGACGATGGGACCATGAGCCCAGCTGAAGCCTATGTCTGATGTTAACTCCTGACAGCAAACAAGCACTGTCTCACTCACCGACACAGGAAACGCCTTCACCCAATACTCCTGAGATTCTTAAGAGGGAAAACTAGTTTTACAACCTTTAAAGGAATTCACTGATAATTATAAGAACTGCGCATATTTACGGTATTAGAAAAGATGTTTTCTTTTGTAAGGCATCAATGATTAAACAAAAGGTATATCTAACAAAAAACAATTAACAGTATCATAAAACCATTTATCTTCTAAACTTCTGAATTCCTGCGACTTTTCTGCCAGCTTAAATAAGAACGCCTCTTGGCCTAAACCACTATTGTTATAAAAAACTAAGACATCTGAAACTATTAGGCACATCAAAGGTACAGTTTATGTGGTTCAAGAGTCCCTTCTAAGGGGCACATGAGTGACCTGGCACACTGCACACGTGGGACTGCAGTCATCTACTAGGGTGAACTTTCACATGTTTAGTCAAACTGAAAGACTCAGAGCAAATATTTAAACATACCATATCTTCAGTTACAACGGAGCAAGTGTAACATTTTACCAGATAAAAAGCTGGACGTAAGTGTGAAAAGCCTCCACACACTGAGAGAGTATTGGTCTCGTCTTGTTTTAGAGAAGCCAGCCGTCAATACTTTGAGCACAACAGTTTAGCAGTGGGCTTGGCTGTAGTCTGTGTTGAGTAGTTCAACGCCACTGGCATCCTAGTCTGTGGCACACGTGTGCCAGTGCACAAGTGCACGCGTGTTCCTGTCCCTTAATCAGACTTGTCTTTCTTCTTTCCTGATAAGGGCACTTTGTTTACAACAGCAGAACCCATAGCCGTCACACCTCCAGCCACAGCGGACACGCCGCCTTTCACCAACCCTATTCCCATGGAAGGCACAGTTGTAACAGCTGTTTTGGTCACCTCCAGACTCTTTCCACCAATCCAAGCCACACCACCAATGGTGGCGCCAACAGCTCCCTTGGTAACACTGAAGATCCCTCCAGTCACACGAGACAACATGCCTGGTTGCTGCTGTGGGTGATCCTTCATTGACCCTGGAGAGAGAAAGCAGACGACAGTCAAACACCTTCCTCACAACCAGGGGCTCCATCTGACAAGCCCCTTTACCAAGCGAGCAGTAAGGAGCTCTTGCCTAAGTATAGCTGCACAAATTTTATATTATACCTTGGCCCAGAGCTAAGTCTTCTGAAGCAAAGTCTTGTTAATGTAACCCACACTTTCCTCTGCCTCACAAATGCTGAGATTACAGGCATGGACCAGCACACTTAGTGTTCTGTAGCAATTTCCTCAAGATGAAAAATCTTCTATTTTGGAAGGAAGCTGGTTAAGACACAGATTATTTTATTAAAAAGGAGATGAAATAGTCCATTCTACATAGAAGCTCCTTAAGCTCAAAAGCAAACAAATTAAAATAGCTTCTGGAAGTTCCTGAAATTGACCAGATTCACTAGGCCCCTCCCTTCCTGAGCATATGTAAACTGTAAAGAGGGCTTGGAGACGCACAGACCAGCTGAGCAAACTGGACAGGGCATTCCCCAACCTGCTGAGCTGCCTCTGGGCTGTGTGATGTGCTCCAGGTTTCCAGCTGCTGTGAGCTGTCACCCACACTGGAGTGGACTTTGGTGGTGCAGCTGCCTTTGAACAGTTCCTACTCCTATACGTAACTCCAGTTATACTCACTGGTTCACTGAGGCGGACTTTGGTCTATTGGTGGCTCCCTATCTGGAGTGAGCAGATGTCTCTGTGTCTACCTTGGAACAGTATCACACAGCAAGTGCAGCCAGGGCTAAGTCTTGTCTACAACAAGACATACTGTAGAGACTAACCTGCTTCAGTTCAGTTACTTAGATTTTACCTTTGGAAGTATAAAAAAATAAAATTATAAACATATGTATCCCTTAATTTCTTATGCAGGATTCAATCAATAATTACTAAAATAATCATCTTTATTAAATGTGTTTCTCGAGATGCTCTGGGGATCTCTAAGGACTACGGGGGGAATTACTGTCTTTTCACTTCCTTCTCACAATGACAACTCAGAGGTCCGGAACGCGATGATGCAGCGGAATGAGTGCAGGAGCAGCTACACCGATGCGCCTGTCTTCTCTCACTCCAGACAGCAGAGGTTTATAAAATACGCAAACACCATCACTCAGGTAACAGACCTCTTATTTGAAAGTTCTAAAATTGAGCTTTTCTAAGACACAAAGCATAAATTCATCTTTACACTTTTTTTATTGTTCTACATTCTAACTGGAAAAATCTTACTGATTATTCTAACTAGTACATCAGGCAGGAAATAAATGCCAGAATTAACAGTTGGGGCTACATGAAATTAAAAGGTTAGCAGGGCGGTGGTGGCGCACGCCTTTAATCCCAGCACTTGGGAGGCAGAGACAGGCGGATCTCTGTGAGTTCGAGACCAGCCTGGTCTACAAGAGCTAGTTCCAGGACAGGCTCCAAAACCACAGAGAAACCCTGTCTCGAAAAACCAAAAAAAAAAAAAAATTAAAAAAAAAAAAGGGTTATTGTACAGCACAAGAAATACTCAGAAAAGCAACAGCCTCCAGAACAGGAGAACATCAGACAGACAACTAATATCCAGATTTTGTTTTCTTAAAGTACAAAGATCATACACATAAAAAGCAAGAGCCAATAAAGTATTTTATATCCTTGGCCCTCTGGAAAATGCAAATTAAAATTGCTGTGAGATACCATTTCACCCAAGTCAGAATGGCTACCATCCCCACTAATCAGGCTGATGCAGTGGTGTATGCCTTTAATCCCAACACTCAGAAGGCAGAAGCAGGCTGATATATACCTGCGTATTTTTATTTTTCTAAGTACTTATTTTTCACATGGACACACAAAGTATCATTATGGCATTTGCAAACAAAATTGGTTCTGATTTCCCCCATCAGCATACAAGTTCACCACCAGCCAAGGCTACAAGAGAGACCCTGTCTCGAAATAAGCAAACAAAAATAAGAAACTAATAGCTGATGCTAGTGTGGATGTGAGGAGAGAGAAACCTTTGTTCACTGCTTGAAGGAATGCCAACCAGTACAGCCATAGTGGAAATCAGTATGGTGGTCCCTCAAGAAGCTAAAACAGGCCATCCTGGGCACACAGACTCAAAGGCAGCACACCCTAACACAGCTACTCACATCCATATTCACTGCTTTTCTATCTACAACAGCAAAGAAATGGAAGCAGCCTGGATGCCCATCAAGAGATGATATTCAAAGTGTTGTGCGTATATTAAATTGTAAAAAGATGAAATTACAAACGTGCAGGGATATGAATAAATTTGGAAAGTATTATGTTAAGTGAGATGACTCAAACTCAGAAAGAAGTAACTGCCATTTCTCTTTCATATTTGGATCCCAGCTTACAGTATATACAAATGAGAGGAAATGCAGATACAATCTAAAAATCTAAAAAGGAAATCAAGAGGGTTAAAGAAAAAGATGTCGAGGAAAGGGGACATGAAGGTTAAGGAACTCATGTGACCGGAAAAACAGAAACGAGAGAGGAAAAGGGAGGTAAGAAATGGGGAAAGGGAAATAAGCTTGAAATGCCATGATACTGATGTAAAATATGGAAGATGAGTATTTAAAAATGAACAAAATATTACACAAGGATAAGTACAGCCATTGCTAAACTTGTTTTTAAAATACAAATAGTAAAACTACTAAGCATGATACACTTTAAAATTTCAAATGACTTACGATAGAGGTAAGAACCTGAATAGATTAGTTATAAAATTTTATTAAATCCTGAAAAATAAAGCAAGCAAGGAGCTTGGTGTCATCAGACATGCCTGTAATTAGCGCTCTGAGAAAGCACAAGGGCCTCAGTGTAAGGTTCGCCTAGGCTACACAGGATGACCCTGTCTCAAAACTGTACGATTAACTTTATTACAATACACAATCTTTTCCTGGAGATGAGGACAAGGGAACAGTGAAACATACTTGTCAGGAAAAATCCTGTCTCCAAAGAAAAGAACAAAGCTGCTTTGTTTCTTTTTTCTTTTTCTTTCTTTTTTTTGAGACAAGGTCTCACTATGTATGCCTGGCTATTGTGGAACTCTGTAGATTAGGTTTGTAGATGGAAGTTCCTGTCCCACCCAGTCCCGCAGTCATTCAGCCCCAAAGAAACACACAGAGGCTTATATTAATTATAAACTGTTTGGCCTGTTTGCCCCCATTAGTTCAGGCCTATTATTAACTCTTACAATTTAAAGAAACGGTAATTCTTAGTCTATGTTAGCCCAGCTAACTCAGTCAGTAGAGCATAAGACTCTTAATCTCAGGGTTGTGGGTTTGAGCTATATACTGGATGCCAAATGTAGCACAAAAAATAAAAACACAGAGACAGATATTGGGGTTCAACCTGTAGATCAGAAAAGCAAAGCAGCCAAGTCGCTAGAGAGTTCTTACCTCTATGAAATCCTCAAACTGAAAGAGTGAGTTCCTGGTTCATGCCGCTTTATATTCTTCTCTAGATCTGGTATTAAAGGTGTGAGCCAGGTCTGTATGACTGACCAATGTGGCTGTTTTACTCTCTGGCCTTCAGGCAAGCTTTATTTATTAAAATACAAATGAAATATCACTATGCAAGCTAGCCTTAAAGTCAGAGATCTGCCTGCTTCTGCCTCCCAAGTGCTGGAATTAAAGGCGTGTTCCATGACACCTGGTTAACAAGTTTTTATTTTTTTATTTTTTATTTATTTTTTTTAAAGATTTATTTATTATGTATACAACTTTCTGCCTCCATGTATGCCCGCATGCCAGAAGAGGGCACCAGATCTCTTTACAGATGGTTTGGAGCCACCATGTGGTTGCTGGGAATTGAACTCAGGACCTCTGGAAGAGCAGACAGTGCTCTTAACCACTGAGCTATCTCTCCAGCCCGTTAACAAGTTTTTAAAAAGCAAAACACAGAAATAGAAACATACATTCAAAAAATATATATTTGTAAATTACATATACCCAGAGTATATATTAAACTTATACAAATTGTTCTTTTAAAAAAATCAAAACTGAGCTAATAATTTTCAGGATTTTTTTTCATTAAACTAAAACCAATTAGATAGTTCCTCTGTAGGTGTGTGTGGGGGGAGGGTCTCACTATGTAGCCAAGCCTTGAGCTTGATGTCCTCTGGCTTCTACCTCACAATTCTGGAATTATATTAATCAGTCACCAAGGCAGACAAGCACATCCATCCTCTTTGAGGCTTACCTATAAGAATTTTACTGTTATTTTTATATTTTGAAGGTTTTGTTTTGTTTTAATATTGGCCCAGAAATTTGATTTGTGCATAACACTCTGGGAAGAAAATGAACTACCTAGAGTTAGGCCATTTAGCCCAGGGTCACATGCTGCCCCAAGGAGGTTGTGGTTTATGTTAAGCTTAGAAAGTCTATACCAAAAGACATGAGTGAGCGGTGACCTCAGGCATTTTCTGTAGGAGTCAGGATATCGAAGGACAGGAGATAATGTCTCCAAAGCTTTCAGAAGCAAGTGCTAAGAGTGATTTGTGTCACAATTTTCAAGCTAAAATAGTTATTATTTAGAAAGACAAATTAGCAGAGTCCAAGGTCATGTAAGAACATAGAAAGGTATCAAATATAACAAAGAATGATAAGAATTTTCAAAAATCTCAAGTCTCAAATTGGGTGCAGTTGTATGTAGGATATCAGAAATAAACAGAGCATCCTGTACCTCGCACACCTTTGTAAATAAACACATGGATGCTCTTGCTTGTGAAACGGTCTTAAGATAAAACTGTAACAAGAAAATAAACCTTAAATAATGGAAAGTGTGTCTATCCACCAAGGGCTGTGCTTTCCTATTAAAGGCTAAAAGTATTTATTTCAATTATTTTGGAGCATGTTACTGACCAGATAAAAAGGTTATGATTCTTTATATTTAGTTTTTAAAAACAATCATAACTTTAATTTGATGTGGGTACTCTGTGCAAGCTGTGAATACCATTTAGTTAATAAAGAACTGTCTTGGCCTGTGATAGGGCAAAAGAGTAAAGCTAGATGGGGAGAACTAAACTGAATGCTGGGAGAAAGGAGGCAGAGTCAGGGAGAAGCCATGGAGCTGCTGCAGAGACAGACAACCTAAAACTGTGCTGGTAGGCCACGACCTCGTGGTGATACACAGACTAATAGAAATGGATTATATTAGGATGTAAGAGTTAGCTGATAAGAAGTCAGAGCTAATAGGCAAAGCAGTGATTTAATTAATACAGTTTCTGAGTGGTTATTTGGGGGTTGAGCAGCTGGGAACCAACAGTGGCCTCCTCACTACAGCATTAATTTACCAGGACATTCCTTCCATTCTTACTCTCGGGTACAAGCTTACCTTCGGGTGGCTCATCACTAAGGTAAGATGGAATTTCTTGATTTTTATCTGCCTGATTCATGATCACCTATAAAACAAAACATATTTCAGTGTAAAGATTGCCACTTCTCACATGCCGCATTGAATCAATTTACGCAATTTTACTTAAACAGAGAACATTTTTAAATACCTACCACAAAAGTACCTCATCCTACTATGTCCTACTTCAAACTGCAGAGTTTACAAAGGACTTGAAATTACATCAATGGACACTAGAAACTTTAGCATCAACACTAAAGAGCTGCAGCAACAGTGCAAGTATTCCTTTGTTGTTTCTACTGTGGAACTTCACCTGAAATTGCTAGTGAAGAGAGCTGGACAATAACAAAAAGGATGAAAAAATAAGATCCGTCCTATGTCTACAGCCTCGCGGTCAACTTGGGTGTGGTGGTAGAGCAGACTGTAAAAACAGAGACTTTCAAAGCTAACTTTGATTTCATATATTTTATCTTGTTATGACTTTACAACCTAAATCCTAAAACAGACTTCAGTGGCCTAAAACCCAACAGCACAGATCATAGGATTGATAAATACCTTCTATTTGCTCTGTGATTGATAAATACCTTCTAGTTGCTCTGTGATTGATAAATACCTTCTAGTTTCTCTGGTGAGAGTCCTGACTCAGATACAGCAGCACCTAGTCTGTCTGACTTGTGAATTGAGGATCATTTCATAGGATTAAAGAAAGTAATAATGAAGCTATGAAATCTTGTACAAAGATGAACAAAGCGTATCATCTGGTGCATTACTCCAAGGTGAAACTCTTGACTAACTTAATTAGAAAACCCCCTCAAACTAGAAAGCTACATTTATTTTCATTTCTATCTATAATCATGGTAAGAACCTAACAAATTATTCAGCATAGTGTTCAATAATTAGAAAGCCTAAGTTTGAATCCCAACTGATATAAAATATATGGCAAAGGAAAAACAACTAAGATTTCAAATAGAAATTAAGATATCCCAGCTCTGATGCTAAAGTGAGAATATTGTTTAACAGACTGTACAGCAAAACATACAGAAAATCCTGGAAAATATATGTTCCTTTTGTGGAAAAAATTACTATATTCTAGCCAATTTCTTCCTTAATTTCAAGAGGAGACAAACTTCTGTATAAACTATTCATTATATCCCACTAAATAATGCACAAATTTATATACCTATACATAGAAACACACCATAAACCGGCTGATGGCCAACATGATCAATAGAAGCTATAGTAATTTGGAAATGACATGAAAACATACATCTTACTTCTTTTTTTCTGTTTAGGTAGCGTCTCCTGTGCAGCCCAAGCTGATATGGAACTTAATCCCGCCTCAGTCTTACAAGGCTGGGATCACAGGAATATGCCACCACCCCCAGGTTCAGCCTACGTATTTTAACTGGAATTCAAAAATATATGTGAATGTGATTCCAACTATATTCATTTCAAAAGTGTCCCTATCTCATAAATCACTACTAATGGTTTTACACTTTCCTCCTACTACAGAACTTTTTTTAAAATTATTTTTCATACTTCATCTGTATGGATCTTGCATCTAATAGATAACACCACCACCTATAGATCATAGCTGCTTTACAATAGCCTACAGACATGGTCATTAAACGTAAACTCACCCCTTCCTACTGTGGACAGACAGTGAGGAACTAGTGCAGAGTAACAATGCCAGATCTGTGCTTTTAAAACCTAGCTAAGACTCCTTGTCCATTACGAGGTGAGGAGTCTCTGCCACAAGTCACCACTAACCCTGCCATGGAAGACTATGTACCCTGCAAACCCCTGAACCAAACCAAACTCCACCTCCCTTAAAAAAAAAAAAAGAAGAAGCCACTAGCTAAAATCTTTAACGCATCTGAGGAAACACCAGCAGAGTGAACAGACAGCCTACAGAAGATCTTTGCCAGTTAGACATCAAATAGAGGATTAATATCCAGGATATATAAATAAAATTAAACACTGAAAGAGCAAACAATGTAATCAGTAAGTAGGCAAGTAAACTAGCCAATTTCCAATGTGCGCATTAAAAACATCCTTAGCCATCAAGGAAATGTAATCAAAACTGGATCCCCTCTCAGCCCAGTCAGAATGGCTATCAAGAAAACAAAAATCAAAACTCGAATCCTGTCAGGGTTAGGAGACTAAGGGGTCCTGGTATAAATGCCTCCCTGTAAGCTCTCTAGGCAAGCACTCTCCCCCACTCTGCCTATTGTTTTCACTTTCGTCTGATTTCTGCATAGCTTTTATTAGAATATCTAAGTGTGTGTATTCCTGTTAAAATGTACACTCTGAGGACAAGGGTTTGGGTTTTGGGTTTTTTTGTTTGTTTGTTTGTTTTTAGTTTTTCGAGACAGAGTTTCTCTGTGGTTTTGGAGCCTGTCCTGGAACTAGCTCTGTAGACCAGGCTGGCCTTGAACTCCCAGAGATCTGCCTGCCTCTGCTGGGATTAAAGGCGTGCACCACCACCACCTGGCTTGGGTTTTGTTTACGATTTCACCATCAGATTCTTCTCTCTCTGATTTTTTGTTTTTCGAGATGGGGTTTCTCTGGGTAGCTTTGGAGGCTGTCCTGGAACACACTATAGACCAGACTGGCCTCGAACTCACAGAGATCTGCCTGCCTTTTGCCTCCCAAGTGCTGGGATTAAAGGCATGCACCACCATCACCTGGCCTATCTTCAGATTCATAAAGTCAAATACTTGAATTTTTGTATAAAGTCAACTTGGATATTAATACAAGCTTATGGGAAAGATCTAGGGTGTTCGCTTTCTAATATGGGCAATTAAGTATGCAGAAATGATAACAAAGACAGGATATATTAGAAAAGAAACCATTTCATCGAAAAATGAAGGGTTTGTGAACAAGCCTTTGTATCAAAACATACACAGGAAGTTGAACGAGATACCTTCAGGGAATATACAGAAGACATCCATTAGGCAATTGTACTTAAGAAGTGGAGACAGTCTGAGACAAAGTGAGGTTTAGACCATGGCTCTAAGTTCTAACTTAATCTATACAGGATGTGTGATGTGATCATGCTAATGAGTGGTGAGAATGGACTTACAGCCTTCATTAGGTTGTTTGCATTTAAGAGCCAGCTGAAGAAGAGAATTTAGCAAAACAAACCTTCAAATAAACAGTCAGTACTCAGTGAACAGTTAATGTAGCTTCATAGAGGGCAAGAAAGGAATGTATAAGAGTTCTAAAAATATAAGGCAGACATTAAAACAATTTATCAGGATCGAATACTAGAGGGAAGTGTTAATTATCACAGAGATTAATATAAAAGATTAGTTTCAAATGGCCTGGGTGTTTTTACAATGTACACACACACACACAAAAATTAATCCTAAAGTTCTAAGATTGAAGCAGGAAGCCAGGTGTCAAGCAGCCCTATAGTTCCAACACCCTGGAGCTGAAGCAGGAGGACTGCCATGAGTTTGAGGCCAGCCTGTCCTCGGTGTTCTCCATACCAGCCAGAGCTGGAAACAAGATCATATCTCAAAAAGAAATAAATATATAAAAGTTACCCTTTAGTGAGAATTTCTTATTTTATGTGTTTGGCCTTGTGCAAAGTGTGTGTGTATGTGTGTGTGTGCACCATGTAGCTTACGACCAGAAGAACGCATCCGATCCCCTGAACAGGATCACAGTTGATTGTGAGCCCCCGTGTGGGTGCTGGGAGTTGAATCCCTGTACTCTGGAAAAGCAGCCAGTTCTTTCAACCACTGAGCCATTTCTCCAGTCCCTCCACAAATTACTAATTTCTGTACAAGCCGTTCTGTTGTAAACTCCTTGAGTCATTGGTGTAACATACACTTGAACCCTAAGCATTGCATCCTGTGATGCATTTAGACACATACAGGCTACAGGCACTGCTCTAACCCAGAACTTACTTCAGTAGGAACACACTTTCCAAACAATTACCACTTTGATCATTCCTTAAGAAACAAAATATATTATCTGTATTTTAGGAGCTCATGATGCATACAAGTTAATAAAGCATACAAGTGTCTAGTTATAAAAAAGCTTTCTAAAGAGGGCAGTCTTTAGATCAAAGAAAATGATTTATTTTAGAAACATAATCAGTTCTATCTTTTGGTCCTGACATGGACAAACCATTATAATATCAACTATAGAAGACTTCTTTACTACAGGACTGTATAACATGACAGTAAATTCAGCAAGAGAGACTTTAATGGGAAAGGGATATTTCTTATCGTACAAAATACTACAACAGCTGGCACATATATTGAGTAAATATCAATACCACTATTCCCTAGAGAGTAATTTATTCCAATAATAGAAACAACCAAACACCTGCTGGAAACCTTTCCCTCTGTTGTGTGTGTGTGTGTGTGTGTGTGCTTTATGAAAAATAAAATCACTCATGAAAAAATGCTGTTTGTGGGTTTCAGCAACATTTTATATAAAATGGTTTTTTGAAAATCCTCTGGGTATAAACCTCTAAAGTCACATAAGTTAACAGTATAAAACTCCGCTACAAAATACAGTGCAACACTTCACCTTCAAAGTCACTTCAAGACATTTGTTACCCAAGTAACAGTCTTCCTATGTAAGAAAGAGACTAAGCTAGGCATGGTGGCTCACATCCATAATCTCAGCTCTTGTGAAACGCAGAAAGACTGCCTTAAGCTAAACCAGCCTAGCTGCATAGTGAGGTCTAGACCAGTCTTTATCTTCTGTAGCTTACAGTCCTGAACATTGCTAACAGCAGCTAGACTAGAAGGAAGGCACCGAGGAAGAAAGTAGAAAAATTTATCCATGAAAGTTTAAAAATCACATACAAAATGACAAATAACAGTCTCAGAAAAGTTTAAGTGTTGTCCTTAAATGAAACATAGAATAGGATTAAAATATTCTGCCAAGCCAGAAAACCAGTACAACAGTCGTCCTCACTAAAATACACTTCACTGGCTCAAGAGATGCTGGCATCCCACTTCGTGCGAGATCTTGTGGAGACGACGAATGAACATACACACAAAGACCCTACTCTTACCTGTATGTAATCTGATGCAATACCATCAGGAAGTAGGAAAAGGGCAAAAACTCAAGGATTGAAACAGGAAAGTTAAGATTTTCCAAGAAATGGTAGAAAAAAAAATCAAATACTTGCCTCACTTAAGCTTTTCTAAGGATGTTTTCATTGAACTTGGTTTCTGGTATAAGCGGTATAACAAAGCCCAAAAAATTGAAAGTGAAAAATGAAAGCAGATCTCTATGACTTCATTAACGGTTGCTAAAGCAGGAGTGGAGATACACTTACCTGTTGGCGTGATAGCCCTTGAAGGCAAGCAGAAGTTTTAAACACTAACCAACAGCGGACACAAATAAACACAATGTTTCCTTTTGGATTAGCAGCGTTCACAAAGACACAATCAAATAAGAATTCGCTTCCTAAACTAGGTGTTTCTAACTTCCCAGAAGCCCTTTCTCCCCCTCATTGATCCACCTTTAGCCTTTAGGCACAAGCAAGTCTTTTTTCTCTCTCTATCAGCAGAGGGAGTGACGTGGCAGGAGAGGCAGAAAATGACCCTAGAGGCTAGTGCTGACTTGGGCACCTCCTTCCTCCGCTGTCCACCTAGCACACCCTAGTTCCTGCAGAATTCCAACGTAAGACGTGTTAAAGGGAGACATCCAATCTGATCCGGAGTAGGAGCTCCGGGGCCAGTGCACAAGCTGCGTGTGCACGGCGGTCTCTGGTTTTGGATTAAGCCTGGGGTCGGTAGTGACTACCCGGAGAGGGGTGCTCCTGGACTCCCCAGTCGTTCCTTGACACTACCACCGCCCCCTTCTTTCCCACGCCTGCGGGTTTAGAAGAGGCGTGGGAGTGGAGCTCCCAAATTTAGGAAGAGCAGCGGGAATCTCCGCTTGGAGCCCAGCCCCGGACTTGAGAACCCACCCGGATGGTTTATCAACAGGTCAGAAGTGAAGTGGGGCGCGGAAGCCGGGCTCCTCCTCTGATGCACCCACCTTCCCCACCTCCTCCACCTCCACGCCAGCCTGATCACAGCTCAGACCCGGGCTTCCAGGAGCGAGCCACCCCCCTCCCCGCCATCCAACACCCTGATCTCCCAACACCGCGTTGGTCCGCGAACTCACGGACCCAACCGGGGGGCGACCCGGCCGCACCACCTCCATCCAACGACGCCCCGCCCCGCCCCTCCCCCTTCCCGCTCGATCGCCCCCCAAAAGGCCAGGGTGGGGTAGCCAGGCCCCCCCGGGTCGCGCAGGTGAGATGCAGAGGGGCTAACGGAAAGGACCCCGGAGGCCCCGCGTCTCTCCCCCCAGGACACGGGACCGACTCACTCACCGCGGGGTCGGGGTCGGGGCGGGCAGCGACCGGGCAGAGGGGAGGAGCGGCGGCACCGGGGACTGCAGAGGCGGCGACGCGATCGGGGTCGGCTGCGCGGTCCAGATGCTCACTCTCCTCCGCTCGCTCTCCTCGGGCTCAGGACTCGGAAGACTAGGTCCGAGGCGGCGGCGGCCTCCGGCTGCGGACGTGGCGCCTGACGCGAGACCCGCCCCCTCCGCAGCCTCCCGAGCTCCCGCCTCCTCCCGCGCCTCGGATTCCTACGCGCACGCGCGCTCGCGCCCCCGTTGCCCCCTCCTCCCCTCCTTCTCCGCTCCCTCCCGCGCCCACCGGTCGCTCGGCGCGCGCAACCCCCTCTCCGCCCCCCGCCCCCCGCCCCCGGCCCGGCTCGCCTGCGCGCGCCTCATCCGGGGTCTTCCCCGCCCCCTCCGCCCCGGATGGCCAATCAGAGCGGGCGAGGGGCGAGCCGGCCGCCAGCCAGTCGCTCCCTGGTCGGCGGCGCCTGGGCGAGCGCTGGGAGAGCGCGAGGGGAGTAACGGTTCTGGGAACGGGGAGCTGCTCCCCGGCGGAGGGCGGCGTAGTCGCCGGTGTCACCAGTCATCCTTCTGTAGCCTTCTGTCAGCGGTTCTCCTCGGGGGCAGCCTGCGTGCCTGTGTAGCCAAGGGATAGGGAGGGAGAGGCCCTGCTAGTTGCTCTGGGGGCTTTTTTGTTTGCTTCACCCTCCGCCTGTCTGTCCTACAGCCGGATTCCTTGGGAGTAAAATAATAATAATAATAATCCTGCCAGGTTTGCCCTCATCCCGCAGCGCTTCGTGCCCAGGCCTTGCAGGGAGTCTGGAGTTTTGATGGCGGAGAAAAAGGTTGGTCCTTCGTTGTGAGGCGTGAACTGGGAGTGAGAAAAGGCTGCCCTCGGTCACTTGCAACTCCCCGACCCTCCACGCTCATACCTGCCTTGGGAAGAAAGTGCCTGGTAGGGACCCGGGAACCCAAGAGTCCTGCAAGTCCAGCCTTGCCTCAGCCTGGGTTGGAAGCAGGACTCTTCTGAGCTTCAGAGGGACCTTATAATAGCCACCTGGGAGGCTGTTTGGGGGAGCAAAGGAGCTTGAGTAGAAAAATGCTGTTAGCTTTTCTTTGGCTCTCAACACCTTTAAGGCAGAGATGACAATAAATGCACCCTAAGCTTTTGGAGAGGCTAAGAAGAGATGGTGGGTGTAAAGGGGCTTTATAAACTGGAATCTTCCCCAAATGTGAGGTTTGTCTTTTCACAACCTCATTAGCCATGCGGACACATTCACAGGGTGGGGAACCTCCGTTTTTAAAGGACAATAGCTTGGTGTAACTGAATAGTGTTGACAGGTCTCAAAATAAGGACTGTGAAGAAAGAAAGATCCCGGGAGGGAGCTAGCTTTGCTCCATTTCTTAAGTAGAATGGACTAGAATATGACTTCTTAATCGTTATCAAATCATCGAGTTAAATCTATTTAGATCACTGTACTGAAACGAATCGTGATAATCTTGTGTGTACTGATCTTATCACTTTAATTTGAGTAGGATGACTAGGAGAGTCTGAACTGGGGTGTTGACTGGGGTGTTCTTTTACTGTCACAGAATCCTGAATTCTTCATAGGATTTTAATAGGTGAAGGATTAATATCTAGGCAAAATTACAGTGTGCAAAATTACACTTTATAACTTTCTTCCCAAAATTGACAATGATTTTGCTAGTTATTAAGGCCATAATTCAAAGCTGTGGTTCTCTCTGTTTCATAAACTAATGAAGATACTGGGGCGCTTTGGCTCCGTCTCAAACTGTAAGTCGAGGTAGTCCTGTATCCTGACTGCAGTCATTTCCTATTGCCTCAGGCTCCTTACCTATGACAATGAATAGCATCCCACTCAGTTCTCACCAACTCCGGTCTATATGAGGGTACGTATGAAGATCTTGATGAGATTGCTTCTATCTTGATGCGATCCTGATTTCAGATATCTTGATGCAACCAGAAGGAGCCCCAGTGAGATCGGGCCCTATTTATTTTATAGGCTGACCTAAATGCCCTCTTCCCCCAGACAGGATTTCTCTGTGTAGCCCTGACTGTCCTGGAACTTCCTTTGTAGATCAGGCTGGTCTTGAACTCAGAGAACCACCTGCCCCTGCCTTCCGAGTGCTGGAATTAAAGCCATGCACCACCATAGCCCGGCAGCAACATTTTTTTTACGTTCTCTATGTAATACATTCTTTTGTTATTTTGAAATGAATGATAGCAGCTTTGAATAGGTTGCCATCCAACATAAATAATAAATGCTATTATTCTCGTGTTCTTACTGGGCTCTGCACACTTAACTCTTTCTTCTTCCTTGACTCACAATTTGACGTAAACTGTTAGGGTGTGCCATCCCATTTCTCTCGTGACGAGGCAAACACTTGTATAATCGTATGAGCTGAAGCAAATCTGTTAATCTAGTCTATCTTCACAACTGTTGAAGATAAAATTTTACAGTCCAATGTTGTGACCACAACCCAAGTTGTTAACTGTCAGATTCTTTTTTTAAAGATTTATTTATTATGTATACAATATTCTGCCTATATGTATTCCTACATGCCAGAAGAGGGCACCAAATCTCATTATAGATGGTTATGAGCCACCATGTGGTTGCTAAGAATTGAACTCAGGTCCTCTGGAAGAACAACCAGTGCTCTTAACCACTGAGCCATCTCTCCAGCCCCAACTGTCATATTCTTGTTTGAGAGATGAGATCTTTCTATGCGACAGGCTGACCTGAAACTTATGTTCTTTCCAAGTGTTGGGCTTAAGGTATAAGCCACTACATTCGATTTAACCACTGCATCCTGAGGGAAAAGCAGACCCTGAAATCCAGCAAATGACCTAGCGCTATCAACAAGGCTGTAATGTTGGTAGGAGCTGGCCTGGCATAACTAGACCTTGGTATTTTCTAGTTAAGCAAAACAGCGTGAGGCAAGGCTACTTCACAATTGGTAATGGTCAAAACAAAAAAAACAAAAACAAAAACAAAAAAAACCCAACTACTTTCTAATTACTTGAACCTGAACAAAATCATCAGTGCTGTCCAGGTCACCAAGCAGAATACACAAAATGAGAAGGTGAACTGGTTAAGTGGCTTTTGCTTCTTCACTGGTTACATTCTAGCCTTTCCTTTTTTTAGGTGACATTTATGAAGACAACGAACCATACAATCACTCCTGCCTCATCACAAAAGAAAGGCAAGAAGTTTCTGTTTCCTTAAACCCTCCTCCAAAACATCTAACTTGACCCTAAATCTGAAGAGCCCTGCTTTATATCCTATTGTTGAGATGCCATCTGATTGACTGGGATGTGTGTTCTGCCTTCCTCTGTGAGTGATAACTGCAACCTGTTCAGCTTGCAGGAATTCTTGATCTTTGCTAAAATACACTGAGAATTCTTTCTGTCTCTTCTGTATCAACTATTTCTATGGAGTGGACGACATGCAGTGAGGTAGAAGACAGCCCAAGCCCTCTTCCTTTCACAGAGCCTGATAAGCTGCTGTAGAATTCTGGCTTCATAGCCACCACCCAGCAGACAGCCTGCACCGCTTGCATGGGCAAGCACCTCTAGGCAGCAACTGACAGCCATTCTCAACTGTGCCCCACCCATCCCAAACAGCCTGTTCTTTGCACATCCAATGTGAGGTTCCCCCCAGCTATAAGGCACCATGTCTGAGAAGTTCAACTGCCACTACTGCAAAAATTCCTTGCTGGGGCAGAAGTATGTGCAGAGGGAGAGCTTCAACTGCTGCCTGGAGTGTTTTGAAAAGCACTGTGCCAATGCCTGTGAGAAATGCCATAAGCTCATAGGCGCAGATTCCAAGGAGGTACGTTATAAGGACCGCTACTGGCACAGCACCTGTTTCCGTTGTGACAAGTGCCTTCACCACTTGGCCAGTGAGACATTTGTGGCCTGGGACAATAAGATCCTGTGCAAAGTCTGTGCCACTCAGGAGACCTCCCCCAAATGCAAAGGGTGCCTACAGCATATTGTGGCAGGAGACCAGAATGTGGAGTACAAGGGCACCATCTGGCATAAGAACTGCTTCACCTGCAGCAACTGCAAGCAAATTATCGGGACCCAAAGTTTCTTCCCTAAAGACGATGAGTTCTACTGTGTGGCTTGCCATGATACCAAGTTTGCCAAGCACTGTGTGAAATGCAACAAACCCATCACATCGGGAGGAATCAGTTACCAGGATCAGCCCTGGCATACTGAGTGCTTTGTGTGTGTTTCCTGCTCTAAGGAGCTGAGTGGGCAGCGCTTCACCGCGGTGGATGACCAGTATTATTGCGTGGAATGCTACAAGAAGTTCGTGGCCAAGAAGTGCACTGGATGCAAGAACCCCATCACTGGCTTTGGTAAAGGCTCTAGTGTGGTAACTTACCAAGAAAAGTGCTGGCACGGCTACTGCTTCAACTGCAGAACGTGCTCTGCAAATCTGGCCAACAAGCGCTTCGTCTTTCACCAAGAGCAGGTGTATTGTCCCGACTGTGCCAAAAAGCTGTAACCTGACAAGGGCTGCGATCCTGTAAAACAGCATTCGAACCATGATTTGTGTTCTTTCTCTTTCTGCCCTGCACCAGCCACAGGGGGACCGGGGCCTTCACCTCTACAAAGTCGCTCCTCTGTCCTCCCTCACATTTCAGTGTTCAGCTAAGGGCACACGGTGATCATGTTAGGCTTCAACGTAGAACAACCTTGCGGCAAAAATCATTTCTCTGTTGCACTAACCATGTAACCACATGATTTAAGCAAGAAGCATTAGCGGTAATGCCTCTACTGAGATATCCCAGGCTCAGCTGGGTTCCTCTGTGTAGTCACACAACATGCAAGAGTTGTAGCAATTGCTCCAACTCACCTCTTACCCTCTTCTGTGAACAGAGAACTTTCCAGATTGCATGATTAACTTCTTCATCAACACTTGTGCTTTCACAGTACACGAATTAACAGAAAATAAACATTTTGAGCCTGGCGGTGTTGGCGCACACCTTGATCCCGCTACTAGGGAGGCAGAGGCAGGCGGGTCTGCAGAAACAGTTCCAGGACAGCCAGGGTTACACAAGAAACCCTGCTTTGAAAACAAAACTACACAAAATAAACATTTTGAATTTAGCTGTAATCCTCAGCTAATCTTCTCCACATACTAATATTTGATTGCTCCATATAACTTCTGCAAAATGTGAACGGTGTAGTGATAGGGAAGGAAATGGAAGCCAAAGTGATAGCGAGGGGGTGTGGATATGGTTCATTTGATGCTTGCTTGCCATGCAAACATTTTGAGCACCCCTGCAAAAGGCTGTCTAGCACCAGAAGATGGACAGCTCTACTGGTGGTATGCTTCTGTGACCCCAGGGCTGGCATCAAAGACAGGCAGATCCCTAGGGCTCACTGACCTGCCAACCTAGCCAATCCATGAAGAGCAATCCAGGGAGAGGCCAGAAGTAGATCTGTGGCCTCTACCTGTGTTCATGCACATATGTGCATACACTCACACATACATGCCCCTCAGTAAACATCTACCTGGTTAATTTTTTTTTATCTAAACTTTAAGGGAGAGAAGCCGAAACACTTAGTAGAAATTGAGCAAACACTTGGAGAGTGGCTTGAGAGTCCATTTACTTACAAAATAATACATTATGACCCAGATATTCCACTAGATATCAACCCAAGCAGATACACACATATACAAAAATAAATCATAACTACTTAAAATTAGAAACACTAATACCCTATAGTTAGTGAAACTATACACAGATGTTAGTACATATGCTCAGTGGAATCCACCTGGAAACAAAACTACACAAAATGAATAGGTACCATTCTCAGTGAAAGACTTAAGACTGGAAAGTATACGTCCAGTATGAGCCCATATGGAGAAGACAAAAAAACATAGAAAACATTGACTAGGAAGTAGGAGTGGTTATCTAAGGGGCTTGAGGGATTTGGGAGAAGCAGTGGAATTCTGTAGATTGTGATATGGGTATACAATGTATCTGTCAAAACTATGCTAACAAATTTTTAATTTATAACTGATACTTCAGTAAGCTTGATATAAAATAGAAAAAAATGTTGAAATGGAATGAAATGAGGTGAGGCCATTTGGCACCACGAATATAAAGGCTCCTCTAAAAGTAAACATGCCCCAGGACAGAGAATGCTGGAACAGGAAGGGCTGAGAGTTCTACATCTTGGTCTGCAGGCAAAAGGAAGTGAACTGTGTCCCTGGAAATAAAGCTTAAGTATAGGAGACCCCCAAATCCACCCCCACAGTGACACACTTCCTCCAACTAGGCCATACCCACTCCAACAAATAATGGCACTTCCTATGGAGTCCATTTTCTTTCAAATTACCACAAGGAGGAAAGGGTTTATTCAGCTTACACTTCCATATCACTGTTCATCACTGATGGGAAGTCAGGACAGGAACTCAAGCAAGGCAAGAAGCTAGAGGCAGGAGTTGATGCAAAGGCCATGGAGGAATGTTGCTTATCGGCTTGCTCCACATGGCTTGCTCAGCCTGCCTTCTTATAAAGCCAGGACCACTAGCCTGGCAATGGTACCACTCAAAATTTTCTGGACCCTCCCCCACTGATCACTAATTAAGAAAACGCCTTACAGCTGAATCTTATGGAGGTATTTTCTCAACAGAGGCTCCTTCCTCTCTTGTGACTTTAATTCGTGTCAAGTTGAAATAAAATCACCAAGTACAAAAGGTAAAGAGCTAAATGGACATTGGTGAAAACCAGGAAGATGGAGCTTTATTTAAAAAAACAATAGTCTTTCAGAACTAGCCCTCAGAGTCTTTGGTGCCACGAGCAGTAGCTAGTTGTAAAGAAGGCGCAGGCATGGTCACCTTGAGAAGTGAGTCTACATTTTTTTCATGTTATCCCACATCATGAAAACTCCCAAGTGAACTTCAAGTAAGAGATCTTTTTGGTTTGGCTTCTACGTATGAGCAATTGCCTATCATCTCATTCAGGCATTGAAGTCCGCACTCTAAAATGGTCTTCCTTTCACAGATAGAAGCCAAGCATGGCTGGCATCTTGCATCAGGCCTAGACAGTGGAGATGGATTCCCACCAATCTGAAACACAAATATCAATCAGTCTGCAGATTCAAATGAGTCTAAGGATGATAGGAACTCTTTCTTAGGGTATTTTTAAAGTCTGTCTTCACATTCACATTGAAGTGTGAAGGAAATAGCAACCAGTCCTTATATGGGTATGACAAAGTCAACATTAATATCTTCAAGCTGAAATTTGTATCAGTGACTACTTGGCCCACTTTCCTTCCTTCCTTCAGGGCACACCCTTATATGAGCCGAATCATTTCTTTTCCAAGAGAGCAATTCGCTTCTCAGCACCTCTGTGCTGTGCTAGTTAACGGCCCCAGAACGCACCAGTCACACAGCCATTGTTTCATAGAAGGGTGGATTATAGAAACAACAAAATCCAACAAGAATATATGGATCAGCTCTTAATATTTTAGAAAATATTTTAGCGTCAACTCCTTTGGTCGCCTCTCAAGAGTTCTGGAACCTTGAGAGGATGAAACACGGTAACATGATTAGGCATGGAAACAAACTCCAAATGTGTGCAGACCCAAAAGTGTGAACCTATTCCACCTTGTCTGAAGGTCAGAGAGTTTGGACTTATTTTTGCCTTTTTTTAAAGATTTATTTATTATGTATACAACATTCTGCCTTGATGTATGCCCGCATGCCAGAGGAAGACACCAGATTTCAGTACAGATGGCTGTGAGCCACCATGTGGTTGCTGGGAATTGAACTCAGGACCTCTGGAAGAGCAGCCAGTGCTCTTAACCTCTGAGCCATCTCTCCAGCCCCCTTATTTTTGCCTTTTCAAAGTTGTTAAAAACAAGTGTGGCTACACACCCTGACCTACGCTGTGATTACTTGGTGATTTAGACTCTAGGATGGGCCAGAGGTAGATCCACTTCACCCTGACTGAAGGTCAAAGGATTCAAGCATCCTTCTGCTCCTGCAGGATACGTGGACTAGGGTGGGTTTACTGCCCAAACACAGAGTTAAAAAAAATGCAATATAAAAGAATGCAACACATTTTTGCATCATTAAAACAAATGTTCCACAACATAAACAAATGTAACACATCTTAAAATAATATTTCACAGCAGAAACTCAGTAATAAAGCTTGGTGAGGATGTGGAGAAATGTACTCTGAAGACACAGGAGGTGGGGGTGTAAACTGTCATTTTGGACAGTGCCTCAAAAGTGCTGTTCGCTGTGTTCACCCAGCTCACCTTAAACAGGAAGTCTTTAAACAACAGTAACAAAACCACCAGCTTCAGCATGTGACAGGAATTTAATTTTATATTCCCTCTGGGATAGCATTTGATAATTCAGTATTCACAGCAACCTCAGGAATGACAAAAATAAAGGTAATTAACTGTGTATCCATACAAAGAAGCATTTCTCATGTGCAGTACACTGTATACAAATTTCAAAAACCGTATGTTACTCATGGAGGAGAAATGAGAAGTTGAGACTCAGTGGAACATTCCAGTTCATAAATATGCAGGATTACATAACTGTATTACTGATCAAAATACCAGAATAAAAAACAAATACCAGAATGCATAACGCTCAAGGGAATACAAAATGATAGTGGATTTTGAGCTCACTTTTTCTGAAATCAAAACTCCTGTTGTCCCATCTAATTCATGTTTAGTAGACAGAACTAAACCTTGTCAACACGTGTTAGCAATCCCAGTGAGCTGATTCAAAATCTCCTGATTCTCACCCAGCTTGCTCTGGTGGCGTGGGAGGGTCTTTTTTCTATGTGTTGTTTTCATTGGTCAAAAGAAGAGACTGCCTTGGCTTTTTGATAGGGCAGAATTTAGATAGGTGGAGTAGACAGAACAGAATGCTGGGAAGAAGGGAAGTGAGGCACACCATGGCTCTTTCCCCCAGACGGGAGCTGGTTAGACTCATGCCGGTAAGCTACAGTCAAGTGGCGATACAGATTATTAGAAATGGGTTGAATCAATATGTGAGAGTTAGCCAATAAGAGGCTAGAACTAATGGGCCAGGCAATGTTTAAATGGATACAGTTTCTGTGTAATTGTTTCTGGTGTAAACTAGCCGTGAGCCAGGCGGTCGGAAGCAGCCAGCCCACCACTCCTTTTACAACACTCTGGTGTCCTGGTTTCTACAATTATTGGGCTTGACCTGATGTTCTGCCCTTGGCTCCCCGCCATTGTTAGCTGGTGTTTAATTCACATGCTTGAACTTTCTCCAGTAAAATATTAATGAGTGGTGTCCTACCTGTGAAAGAACCCAGATGCTAAGGACTGCATATTGTATTTTTTCATTTGTATGAAATGTCCAGAAAAGGCAAACCTAGAGTGACAGAAAGCAGATCCACAGTTATCTGGGACGGGGAGGGGGCGCTAAAGACTGACCACAGAGGGGCATGAGGACCTTGTCAGGGGGATGAAAATTTTCTCATAGTAAATTTTGACAAAATGATTCCAAGCTATTTAAATTTAGTAAAGTTTATTGTGTTGTACATAAAAAACAACAGACAGGAATTATATAAATTTCGTTCATTAAAGCTGTTGATTTAAAAAGAGGAAATATTTGAGTAGCCACACAGAAAACCTTAACCCACTTGTAGGAGGAGAAAGAATGAGTTTTTCGTTAGTTTCTCATCTCATTCCATGATCTTTTGCAGTGTGGCTTTACCCCTCTGTTAATATCACAGAGATCCGCCTGCCTCTGCCTCCCGAGTGCTGGGATTAAAGACGTGGGCCTCCACTGCCCGGCTACCACTCTGTTAATAAAACACGGGGCCTCAAGCCAAGCAAGATGACCCAAGCCTGTCATCCCAGCACTCAGGATCCCAAGTTCAAGGCCAGCCTGGACTATAAAAATAGTGGAAGCCGGGTGGTGGTGGCACATTAGGGAGGCAGAGGCAGGCGGATCTCTGTGAGTTCGAGGCCAGCCTGGTCTACAGAGCTAGTTCCAGGACAGCCAAGGCTACAAAGAGAAACCCTGTCTCAAAAAAAG